CACTGTCCTAATATCAGACTGGTTAGGCTCCCATTTGGATTATTCACAACACAGCTTTGTCTTCAACTACTAGTCTAACATAATTGTCTCCCCCAATGGTCTAACTTGGTATTGCACCTGAAAACAGACGGGTAAAGATGACAAGGTTACATCTTAGACTTTACTGCCAATTTGCCAGTATGTGCTTCAAGGGAGAAGAGCATTGTACATCATAGGACGGTTTATCTATAAGGACTGATGGCGACCTCCACTTACTCTTTCCCTGACTTGATTGACCAACCTAACAATGAAGGGTTTCTTGCTTGGCACAATACTACAACTGAATGACAATTGGAGTTTTGTGGTTTAGTTACAGACATGGATCATTCTACTCCAAAGGACGCAGATGGTGAGATGTATGAAGGCATTGAAGCACCAGATAGTTTAGTAGATGGAACTGTCAACTGGGATCAACTAAAACAGAGCACAAGTCCTGAAAAAGTTCAAGGTGTCATTATAACAGGTATTGATCAGATCTCCTCACAATAATTGAAATAAGTTCGGTTGTGAGCTCAAAAAATTGGCAGTGGGTGGTAACATAGCTTTGAAACCTTTGACTTTCTGATTTTATGATTACATTTACCTCTGATGCTCTTTTACTGAGCTTCATTAGATGTAAGATAGGCAGTTTAGTAAACTAGGAAAGTATTCAGGTTTAAAGTTGTTTATGATTACTATGCACATGTTCTTAGTTAGTGAGGGGTACAGTCTCCTAATGTCAAGCTGGATAGCAGGCTTAGGGTTTAAAGTTCATTGGGTTAGTTTACCTATATTACCTCTCTCTATCCAAGGCTGGGTTGTTCAAAGCTGGGGTTTCAGATCTGAAAGCTTTAAAAGAAAATTCATTTTGGTCATTTTTGTCCACAATTTGATGATTAGATGTTCTGAAAAGAATAGAGAAAATTATCCGAAAGAGGCTTTTAAACAAAAGGAATGAAGAAACCAGATTACAATTGAACACTAGGTTTGCTCTACTTGGCCTTTGAACAACCAGGCCCAGGACCGTAAATTAATTTTGATGAACTATGAAGAAAGCTTGATGACATGCTGGGGTGGGGAGGGAGGGGAGTAACCTGTGATGCACCAGCATCCCATCCAAGGGAGCAAGACAAAATCCTCATTAATTCAAAAGTTATCATCATTGGCTACAAAACTTGGGACAAGCTTTGCTAGTGTGGGCCAATTGGCTTTAATGATGACCATGCTACATCATCTGGTTTTGATGTTAAATTTATTTTGCTCCCCTGCACCAGTATCATGTTTCCAAACACATTCAAACTTTGAAATGCAAATTATCTGAATTCCAATAGTCGTTTCAGAAAACTAATTTAAACCACTTTTCTTTAGTACATTCTTCAACTTCAGAGGCTCATTTTGCATGCTATTTGTTGTATGTGTAGCTGAGAGAGTTTAGCACCATTGGGTATTATTACGTGTTCAATAGGCATCAAAGATCACAGAATTCTTCGATGCTACACAGAGATCTCCAGTTCAATTCCCATGGGCTAATGTACTGTAAGTTGACGTGCCTCGAAATTCGATCCTCGCTTGTCGGAGTTTCGAGACTTTCGAGTCGAGTTTCGATAACTTTGAAACTTTCGAGAAGAGAAAATATTTCTCAGTGAAAACCCTAGGGCATTGGTTCACATTATTTACAAATACCATTCTTTTTCTCTTATAATTTTGACAGTATTATTTAATAATTAATTTACTAATTGTTAAAATTCTAGTTAGTAGTTTTGATCGCTAAAAATTATTTTCCTGCAGGTTTTTTGAACAAACGTCGCAAGGAAGGAAAGGTGTATTTGGGAAGTAAGTTTCAGAAGAGGTTCTGTGTAGTGCGTAACCACGCGATGTACTACTTTAAGGACAAGAAGGCCAACAAACAACAAGGGCATATCTTGCTGCCAGGTTACAAAGTACAGCTAGCCAATAAGAGAGGCCGAGAGTTTCATCTCACGCATTCGGGTGGCCAGAGGACTTACCAGGTACAAGAGTCACACCCTCAATGTGCTTTTGTTAATTTTGTTAACTTTCGAAAGTGAAATTTCTAAAAATATTTCTTTCCTCTCAAATATCCTGAAATTATGGAACGATTTTTTAATCGTTTTAAGAAGCCTGAGGAAAAAAATAGACGCAGACGGAATGGACTAGCATATAAGAACTCTGGGGAAGTGACTTTTTTATGAGCTTCTCTCTTCTCGTTATTTTATACAAGTTTTTCATGGCCACAAACATGTTAGGCAAGTGTTACCATCCCAGTGTGGAACATCAGGCGACTTGGAGTATTACTACCCCATGTTGATGAACGGATTAGGGTTCCGTCGGGTTCCCTTACAGTTCATTGCCTCCTATTTAAACCGCTCGGGCAAAGTGAGGCACTATGACGGTTATATGTCTTGTTTAAGATTACAAAACAGTAATTCGGTTATGGCTCGAACTCGATGAAATTTTCCGATGTGATGTGCACTTCTTCTGATGTGTAGTGCATTAACGACTAATTCCCATCTGGCTTTGACATACAACATGCTCCGTTGCAATCGCAGGACTGTTTGAAAATTTAAATGGAGAAAAAATTGTTGGAATGCATTTTAAACTCTACTGATTTATGTAGCTGATCTGTAGAGGGCGACATTTTTATTGTTCTCTTCTTTCTTAGTTTGAGACAAACAGTAAGGAAGAAACAGAAAAGTGGATAAAAGCCATTCAGAGGGCTTGTGATGCTCCGCTGTCTGAACATCAAAGGGCTAAATTAGAAGAAATGCGCAACAGGCACACCGCAGGAGATGATGACAGCCTTCACTATGTTGACGCGAGCCTAAAAAACGAAGCTGTGGAAGAAGAAGACGAAGTGTATGATGACACTCAAGAAGATTTATACGAAGCAGTGGAGACTGTTCAACCACCTGTTTCAAACCACCCCTCTCCAGGCCCTTCACGGGAGGTGGTTGACTACGAAGTTTCTCCCACGGCTGTCCCCTCAAAACAGGCCCCGCTTCCACTTTTCCCTGGTTAGTTAACAGATAATAGCATCATGGCTCACTGAAAGTCGGGATGGGGCGTGTTAGAGTATTCGTTTTCATATAAAAACGTCGTAGACTATCGTGGTATTTCTCAATTGCAGACAGCAAATTTGCGCAGTACGGGACATCTCTCATCTCATGTCGTGGCGATAAAAACCTTTCACGCCACTTAAATAGACCATCGATTTTCGTGCGCAAGTCGCATCAACAATTTGGAGGTTTATTTTTTGAGTACATGAATTTTATTTATTTATTTATTTATTTTACTTCAGGTGAAAACAAAACAGTCGAACCAATTCAAGAAGAGGAATACGAACTACCCGAGGCATCTGCACCTCCACCTCGACCCAGCAAGACAGAACCCATGCCACCCATCCCCAGCGAAGACAAAGCACCAGAGATACCACCCCCGCGACCTTCTAAAGGACAGCCATCAGCCGCTCCCGTCCCTCCTGCCCGTCCTGTACCGCAGCAAGATGACATGTATGAAGTTGCTGAACCAAACGCCCCTGACAACACCTCAGACTTACCGCCTCCCCCACCCCCTGTGTCAGTGGAAGAAAATTACGAAGTTGCCGATACTCAAGCTCCTGCCCCACCTCCGATGCGTCCACCCAAAAGACCTCAACCCCAGATTCCACAGCCAGTCATTCCTCCAGTGGAGTCACGTAAGTTGATAATATGTCCATTGATTTAACTGCTCTCTCGGTATGAAGTTGGTCTGTGTGGTAAATTTCTGAGAAATTCTGTGTTTAGCTGGAGTGGGTAAATCAGGTGAAAGGGAAATCTAAAAAATTCCTATGTCTTCGTACTCGTCAGCAAAATTGCAATAAATGCGGTAGTCAACCTTTTAACTCTCGAGATCTAGTTGTTAATTCTCTCCTCTAGCTGCTTCATATTTCATTGTAAAGTAGTTACAAGAAATTTTTTTTTTAGATCTAGATAACTTCTACTTGATAAGTTTGAATATTCTCGTCACCTGTTTGCTAGATGATGTATGGGTATTCTAGGGAGAAGATAACTTTTGGTAGTTAACGGGTAAATATATTTTTCCTGGAACAGCTGCAGAGAAAGCTCCTGAGCGACCATCAAAGCCAGCTGCTAAGCCACAGCCTCCTGCACCTAAACCGAAAGACGAACCACCTCCGAGTCCCAAAGAAGTTCAGACGATTGAAATCAACTATGCTAACATCTATCAAGCCCTGTGGACCTGTGAAGCAGATGACAAAGATGAGCTGGCATTCCGGCGAGGTGACCTGATTTATATTTACGAAAAGCCGCATAACGATTGGTGGATCGGGTCTTTGTTCAAACCTCAAGGGTATAGTGTAGGTCTGGTGCCGAAAAAATATGTCATGGAGGCGTACGAGATGACAGCGTAAAGTTTGGCTTGTAACGCAATGTTTTTCGTCTTCTCCTTCAACCAGGCGTCTCTTGTCAGTGCAAATGATTCTTAAATCGCTTGTAGTTTAATAGAATACAATTCATAGCCCGATTGAAGAAATGACCTCAATACATTGTAAACAAGAAAACACACATCAGTGGGAACTGGTGAGTGTAACGTCTTCAAAAAAGAGAAAAGAACGTTTAGGCGGCGTTTGTTGTATAATCCAATAAGCGATATCGGAAATAGTTTTTTTAGACTTTTTTCGATTCTGGTGTCATTTGCGCTCTCAAATCCAAGATGTAAGTTTAAGGAAAACAACATATATCACCATTTTAAATAGAAATGCTCGGATGTTATGTATTAATGACCATGGAACAGTGAATTGTTGCAATTGGGGAATTTCTTTTTAGAATGGATAGATTTCACCTAATATAGATTGTTTGAGGTTTTAGTAAACAAATATTTTCTCATACACGGACATTCCAACCCTCACGATTTGATGTGTTGCTTTCCGCCCTCCCTATTTTTATCAGGTTCTCCCGATTTATCATAAAAATTCTGATAAGAAAGAAAAAATTGCTTATCTTATATGTATTTTTCGCAATCTTTTTGTGGCTCCCCACTGAATGCATTTATGCCTTGTGGACAGAAAGTTTACAAATATTCATGATCTTCCAAAGTGGCCATCGTAAAAGTAATAAAAGATGTCTTCCTTTTTGACTCTGCAATGATGTATTAACAACTGCAAAGAAAAGCTCAAAGATATCTGTGATAAGAGTAGAGACCTTATAGAATACCAAAAAATTGATGTCAAATGCAGGAAATGCCACCTGAGAGAAATTAAATTTGAACATTTTTCTGGGGGGAGGGGCATGCCCTTAGATCCCCCCAAGAGGCTCGCACCTTCGGCGCTAAAAAATATACTCCCCTCTAAAGGGGTTGGAATGTCTGCACATATATCGGAGAAGATGAAAAGTAGGAATAGTATAATTCTTAAAATTAGATTCGCCTCGCTTTCTTGTCAAGCTGTGTGAAAGCGTTAAATGCAGTAAATGCGCTGCCAGAAAAAAAATATTCAGAGACGAATGTACTGAGCAATTATAAAGAAACTCAGTTTTGTATTTAGAGCATTATCATAAAAGTATTTTATCTCAATGAAGAAAAAATTAGGTTATTTTTCTATGAAAAAAAAGTAGAGCAATGAGTCTTTAAAATTCCAATCGGCTGTCGCATTTTTTTAATTTTACCGTCAACCATTATGGAGTAGAATCCGCTTTTAATTAGTAGTTTTAGTCAACACATCTGTGTTTTCCTTGAATATTATTACATATAGTGAAGAGTACACATTATGAAATTGTGAGAACTTTTCCAGAATATGCAATAAAGAGAGCCATAGAAAAGTTTAGTTAGTTCAATCCTTCAGATATCGGTCTAACTGCACTTGGTGTTTGGTTGGCATGCGGTAATTCCGGACAGCTGAAGAAACCAAAAAGAAAGCGCCAATAGAGAGCGGACCGTACCAATAATTCATCCGAAATACTTGGACGATATCAACCAATCACACTTCAAGAAACAAAAGATTTCCAAATCAATTGTGTTATTAAGTGCTAGGAACCAAAGCAAGGGAACATGAAGCTACACAACACAACACCGTGAAAGGTCGCAGTATGGTTTTGCTTTGACACCAAGACATGGAAATTTTTCAAGAACATCTTCATCTGTGGACAAATTTAAACTGATTTGAGTTGGTGCTCAGTGATACCGGCGAGCAATACACATGAAGCGGTTTGACAGAGCGGCATACCACCAGGGGTGTCTTAATGGTAACTAAAGATGGCTAAATTTAGAATCATCGTCATCGTCACTTGTAATGTCGTCGACGGCGTCATCTTTATTTCTGTCGTCGTCTCTGCCTTTATCATAGTATTTATCATTGGAACTTGCTTTAGTCTTTGTTGCTGCATTCTTGTTTTTAAGTCGTTTCGATTTCCAGATTTCATAAAATGTGCGAAAACCCTTCTGTTCAACGAAGCGGAATCTTTTGAGCTTCACCACACGGTCCAGCATGTCATTCTGAAATTATAGCAAACAGCAAAGCAAAAATGAACGTGGCAATGAAACCGGGTACCTCAACACATGCATCCTCATTCCGACATCTCTAATTTAACTTAACTTGATTCCTAACGAATAAAAATGATCTTTTTCTTAACCCTTTGACCCCTAAAGAATGACTTGCATCTAATTTCTCCTTACAATATCAGCTCTGAACCAAAAATTAAGGTCACAAGAAGAGAGAGAATGATCACCAACCAAGGACGTGCTTTATTGTTAAACAAATTATCCTTGTCAGCACTTAAGGAAACGTACAGAAAACAGTATGGACGGCATGCATGCTTGTTTTAGGGTGTAAAGGGCTAAGGAAACTTTGATGCGATGCTGATCCAACAAACAATTTTTTCTTCTACTTTTCCTTCTCGTTTTCAGCACGTTTTTTTTTCTATACGTTGTGTCTTATGGCGTTTTACTCACTTCAAACCATTAACTAGTTCAAACTTCTCACTGTACCACCAAACAAGTATGAAACGAAGACACATGGTGGGTCATGGTGTTTTGAAGACAAAAACTTCACTCGAAAACTGAGCAACAAAGTGATACAAACAAAGAGGTACATGTAAGTTTCTAAAGAGACTGTGGTGCTGCGTTGGTGGGACGTACTACAAGATAATAATTATGATTTTATCAAATGGGTTGATAAAGTTTTTAAAGCTGACGTTTCAAGCGTTGGCCCTTCCTCCGAGTTAAAGGGCTGTGGTGAGGAGAGAATTTACACTGATCTGCAGCAAAATAGAAAAATTTTAGTAGAGGAAAAAATTAAGCTGACAACTGCTTACCGAAATGTCGGGTTTCTCACAGGATAAGCTGTACATCCTCTCCAAGACATTTATCATCCTAGCATTGGGCTGCACATCATCCTTTGTCATTCTCTGGTGAATGTAACATAACAGTTAAAAAATGAACCAGTTGACAGACAGCCAGGGATAGACAGGCTCAGACACATAGCATACTGCCAGCAGATATACACACAGATAGAAAACTACAAAAGAGATCCGTTCCATGGGAAGAAAAGATCATCTTCCCAAACCGAAAGTAAACAGAATCCTTGTCTTCTGTATTATGGTGCAGTCATCTCAGCTCCAGCATTCTAACAACAATCATGTACAAGGCCCTACAAGGTTAATATCTTTGCGTCTCTATGATAATTTCTGCCCCTTCCCTTCATCCTCAAGAATACAGCCAAAAAGATACTCCAAAGAACTAAGGTACATGCACACATCACAAAGACAGTCATGAATAAAGACATGTGACAGAAAGCAAAGAATACAGGCAAACCAATGGACAGTCAGACAAACAGGTGAAAATACAGGCAGAAACAGGAACAGAGGGAAAGACACAGATTAGGATTACCAAATGTTTGAAAATAAGCATGAAGAGAAACCAAAATGGCCTGTTCTGCTATTTCTCATACCTAAAAGTGTTTTTGGATCCCAAACCATTTTCAATGCCCCCCTTACTAGACCAAAACAAATCCATTTGGGTTATGTAAAATACAGCTGACAATGGTTTTCTTATTGAAAATAGATTTCTGATACAAACCTTGACTAACTTGACCAAGTAAGAAAAATGCCGTAATTTAGCTGCTCCTG